CCCCAAAAAGTCTGTAACTGGAAGTCTCTATCAAAATGGTAAATATGCCTACCCTACAAACCTACAATCACACTTCTGGGTGTCTAACATTCAGAAACAGCAGCAAAGATCTGAAAAGACAGGCTCAGTACTGTTCGTTACAGTACAATTTGCAAAGCAAAACATGGGAAATAACTTATCCTCCATTAATAAGGAATGAGTCCTTACTTTTGTGATATCTGTAAAGCAGAATAACAACGGTTGTTAAAAAGGAGATAAAATGTGATAGAATATCTTGAAAAAAGTCTATTTTTACACAGTTAAATGTTAAAACAGGAAATTTTATGTAAATGTACCTATCTATAGCTCTATACACCTGCTATATATTTTATCATTTAAATAACTAGACATCCATATAAAGAGCCTGGAAGGATATGCATGGAGCTATAAATGGTAGACCTTTCTTGAGGGTAAAATTGGAGTAGCTATAGGAAATCTTTTGCTTTTTATTTTAAATGTGTCAAGAAATAAAAATAAAAGTGGTTGAATAAGTAGTAATTTTTTAAAGTGCTTTTTTTTTACTTTTCCAACTAACAAAAATTTTCAAACATATAAAAATTTAAGTAATATAGTGAACACCTGTATAGCCACAACCTATGGACAATGACTGTTAACAAGCTTATTTTTAATTTTACAACATCTCCCCAAAAAACATGTGTTGCTTTTGTAAATTAAGAACAAAAAAAATCTGGGGTTGCAGGGCAGTCATTGGATGACTTAGAATTTTTCTTTTAAAGAAAAAAAGAAAAACTTTTCTCCCAACCTAGGCTACTGGACATAGTTAACTTTTGTTTAATGATAACTCCTCTACCAACCATCCTAATGCACACTCAGTTACTGCTGTCCACAACGATGTATGAGGCTTAATGGAGGTTTCTTTTAAAAGTATCTTTTATGAGTGAATATTTTCTTCCCTTACTCCACAGATCTTAGAGACTTGTACAACTTCATTAGCTGTTAATTTTAGTTCTTCTACCACGTTTCCTCTCTCCTTTTCTCATCTTGCCCAATTTATTCCATTAACCATTTGAAGTGATCAGTCTAAACTTAGCTAAATGATACCTTCTTATTTATTTAAGTCTCTGTCTTACTTTTGTAGCTCATGGGTGATAAACCAATGCCCCTTTAATCATATGTTCTATACTTGTTCTGACTGGCCCTGTACACAAACAAGTGATGATTTATTGTTGTAAACCATACTCTTTTTAAGAGGTTAGGTAGTTCTAAATATAACTTGGCTGTATCCCAGCATCTGAACCTGAAAGTTCAGAGAAACATACACATGGAAAATATCGACAAACAGAAAGAGGTACCTGTTCTCAACTGGGAAGGTGTGAGACTTCCTTACTATGTTCAGATGCTTAAATGCAGTGTTTCACTAAGTGACTTGATCGCCACCCCAAATTTGGAATGTATGCCAAAGCAATGTTCTTTCCACATCTGACAACTTTCCAAAGGTAGTTACACTGAAAACAACAGGTTTTTCTATCTTCATTTTGTGCCTTAGCTGAGAGACAGTGATTCTGACCTGTTCATTCTTCTAACCCAGAGACAAGTATGTTTGTGGTATTGCAGTGGAGGATAAAATTCTTTATGGCACTTAAACTGTTACAGCACGGCACTTATATGAAATCTGGAATGTGTATTTCAATACTTTTTGAATATATGGCAGAATTAAGGGGGAAATTCTGCCTCCTTGCATCTAGACTCTCTGACAATATTAAATAACTTAAAAAGCAAATAAAATTCTTATTCACAAGATGGTTTTTTAAAAGGAAAAGTAGGAGTCATAGAATCCATGGACTAAGCAAAATCTTCCTTTTTCTTCTGAAAGAACTACTGAATTTCAAATGGTATTATTTGGTATATTATCATCCACAACAGGCCCATTAGAAGTAGAAATCAATTTGCTTTCATGAACAAGTTCTGTGCTAGAGGCTGGTTATATAAATCACTGGTTTCTCATTTCATTGAAAGTCATTTGTTTGAAGTGAATACATGAATGATTATTTCCCTACTTATGCATACCTTAAATAAACATCGCCAAAGTTTATAAGGTTTGGGGATAAGTAATTATAAATTCAAAGGTCTGATGTATATAAAGGCACCTTTCAGATAGTGAAAGGTAAAATTTTTGGTCTAAATTCCAAAAATTAAGTAGAGTCATATCATCTGCCATGTAACACCTAATAAAGGATCATTTTATATCACCATCTTGGAAAGCTTGGCATTATTTATGAATAAGAGGAAAGGAAGAAAAACAAAAGGGTTCCCGGTTTAGCAATGCCACTTCCTGTTCTCATCCTTTTGGCAAGTCATTCAGGTAATTCATAGCCACTAGCTGGAATCCATACTGGCTGAAGCAAATCATCACATTGATATGAATTTCGCATTATCAGCTGCATCTACTTCCTTTGTAAAATGGTCCAACTTTCCAGACAGGAGTCCACATTATAGGTCTTGAAAGGCAAATAGATTTTTTCAACAAATCAAGCTTAAGTAGATTGCTTACCTGAGCTAAAGGGCACAACATAATGCTTCCTAAGTGAACAATTTCTGTTGTTCTATTCTCTTCCTCTACTAAATCTCCTTTTTCCTCTATTCATTTTGCCCACTGCATTCTATTATCTGTTTGAGGTGATAAGTCTAAGCTTGGCTAAACAACACCTTCTATATACTTAGGTTTCCATTTTAATTTCATAAAGCCATTGGTGATATAAGCAATGCCACTTCAACTGCAACCTTCATTCTCCTTTCCAGTGACTTAAATGTATTTTAATGGGCTCTCTCTATATACGGATCCAGTATTTCCACATACATTGGGAAGAATTAGATTCTCAATAGAATTTCTAGACTTGGCCATATTTTCAAAATTACCCATAAAAGTGAGAAGGACTTGTAGATGGAGGCCCCTTGGTTGAAGGTATTTATACTCCCTTTCTTGTAGTCACCTGCACTTGGCTAATAATCCTTTCTACACAGTTCCCATCCAGGATTTGCATTAATGCCTGTAAACATTCTGTTGTTGCTGAAGGTGGTGAGGGACAGCACTCCCATTAGCTTTCTTCTTGGGGGATACCTTTGTCTTTGCACTCAATCCTATAGTGTGCTTCTGTCTCTGCTGGAAGACCAAGGTTGTTTCCAGAACAGGTAACACTTTATGAAGAAGCCAGAGGAGGGGGGGCACAGTGCCAAGCAGCAAGATACTGAGAAACAAAATTATTTTCTCCATTTCTATAATGTACTGCTCTTATAAAGGTGATGAAGCAACATATACAAGAAATCATGTAACAAATTATTTCTGTGGCATTAAGGTCCTCTATACAATGGTTTAGCCAAACTGAAAAGTAGATGAGTTCCTGAGTCCATTATTAAGAAGGAAGGTACCTGTAGCCTGAAAAAGTCAGTACACTACTATTTCAAACAGTGCTGAACTGAAACCATTTACTACTTAATTCATATCAAGTTGCTTTAATGAAGCACTGAGCGGGCGACTCAACAGGGAGCATCCAAGGGAACGCAGGGATCCTGGAGGACTTCCCGGTTTGTTCAGTCATTGTGCTCATGTGCACAATCTACACTGATCAGTCTTTTTCATAATACGCACACCCGAGATTTTTGGCTACATTTCCTCCCAACTTTTATGCTGATGAAGGTATATCTTGTTTTTTAAAAAAACAATTTTTAAAAAGTCAAACCTTATTTGCAATAGAATTTAAACAAAGCCCATTTATGATAATTTGTAGAACCACATTGAAAATGCCAAATGTTTCTCTGAATTGAATAGCTACCGGTTACTTTGACATAGCTACATGTAAAAGAGAAAATATGCTAAATACAGTAAATCATGTATTTTCAATTCAAAGCAACTCACTGCAAGTGTGTAGTTTAATACATCTGTGGTGTACCCTACTGTGAGTTAGAACATCCGTCTGGCACAAGGAAAACTTCCCAACAACTGGGGGTACAGTGCGGCCATATCCTTAGGCATTAAGACAGTGCCACTCAGTTTTATGTTTTTAGCTCTCTTTACCATTCATTGCTTGACATCCATTTGATATAAACAAGATTTACTTAAAAGACAGTAAAAACAGAACTAGACTTCAATTAACTGTACTAAATGCCCCGCAGAAAGAATATTTTTCCTCTTTCGAAGCACTTAATGTTATTTATTTAAAAAAAGCAATAAAACAAGCATATTCTTCTTATTCTCAGCCACTATGTGTCTCCCCAGTGCGAAAGCTGAATTGGTCAGTGAAAGTCAGTAAAGGTACTGCTTAAAAAATATATACATTTTTGCATCCTTTGTTTCTTTCCCTTCCTTCCTCCTTCCTTCCTTCCTTTGGATGTTCCCCTCCTGACCCTCCCCCTTCTTTTGAAGTAATGTAGACAGAAATTAATAGAAACAATACAGAATAAATGCAGGGCAGGACAAAAGCAGGTTTGCAGTTACGAATACACAAAACACCATTTATTCTTGTATTATTATTTATTAATTATTGTATTATTTTCCATATGAATAACTGTAAATATACTTTTGTCCCCACCTTCTATATTCTTTCCCAATGGGATGAATGATGTAACATTAATCCACCATCTATTTATTCACTTTAAAAGATGAGAATGTGAATCATTTCCAAATATGTTTCACTGAAAATATTGTGTGTTAATAAGCCCATAAAAATGGTAGCTATTTTTATAAGAGTATATATAGATTGTCCAAATTTGGAGGATAATGATATATTTTTCTCCTGTATACCCCACCTCAGATTTGCACAAAGAGCTTAATTTCTTTTCAAGACTTCTGCTTTTGGCAAATATCAATAATATAAAAAGAAAAAGGAGACATCCCAAATTGTTCAAAATAAAATGATTCATTCATCCTTCAAGGCAATATCAACCCTGGGCTATAAAATTTCAGTGAAGACTGTATCATGGACAAGACGAGTCACGTCTCTTACCTGGTGTTTGAAAATTAAGGCGCCTTAGTTCCACTGGGTCTGTTGGATGGTGTGAGGGGACCTCCTTACTGTTCGGGATGCTGCTCTTCCTAGAGTCGGACTCTGCCCTTTTCCTAAAGGGACAAGGTAAAAATTTAATAATAAAAGAACTGAAACAGATTCAAAAAGCAGAGAGCTGTGCCCCCTGCTCCTACTTTCAGTTTTAAAACTTCCCTGGGCTAGTTTTGTGACCTTGTTCTGTTTGCTTTTCCTTGCTTGGCTTATGGTATTTTCTCTGGTCTAGAATTTTTATTTTAAGTGGATGAACTCAGAGTCCCCTTTCAGCTCAGAATCAAACATTTCAGTGACTGCGACTTTAGGCTTTAAGGGAGTGTTGACGAGGTGCACTTGGATCCTTGCTCAGCTCTTTTCCCTTATCCAGTAGTTCTGGCGGTGAGAAACTGGAGAGAGGACCCCTGGCAGCCAATACTAACATAATCGCTACTATAGAGAGAAGCTCTGAAACTACTGGGCCTCAAGTTGAACGGTTCAATTTGCCCCAGTTTCTCCTTTCTATGAATATATAACTGGTGGCTACAAAGTGGACCTGGATTGGCTTTTCCAATAAGGCAGATAAATACAGTAAGTGCATGTCTAAGATTCCAAGTTAGCCTAATACCTGGAAAGAGATGGGGACCACACAAGACCAACATCCAATTTCTCTGTCAAATCCCTCCCACCACAGAAATAAATAAATAAATAAATAAATAAATAAATAAATAAATAAATAAATAAAGGAAGACCAGTTGGCTGTTTAATGGTGTTAAGCTAATTATGATTAATATTTTGTTAATGAAAGTCAATCACAGAATGAAGAAAAAGTAATTTCACCTAGTGGGTAGTTCCACTCTCCTAATGATCACTCAGGCATATAAACCATTAACACTGCCTTGATATAAATAATTCTTCACACAATTCATTTGATCTTTGTTTTAACTTCTATCTACTAGTTTTATTGAATACTCTTATTTAAAGTGTCGCAATGTACTTTTAACAAATGTCTATATAAAAAATGTCAGGTTTTTCTCTCTAAGAGTTCTTTACTCATTTTTCTTTAAACCTAAATAATCAGAGTGATATGTAACTATTTTCTCTCAGGTTGACTTAGATTAACAAGTCACTTAACAAACGGAAGTCTTTTTCAAGCAGTGCTTTCTTTCCAATACTGTTTCCAGCAATCTCCAGGCCAGTCATAATCCCGGCATCTCACCCCTGCTCCGAGCCAAGGCATTCTAACTTAGGAGTGCAGCAGAGGGGCTAACTCTCCCTTTCTGTCTTTGATACAGACTGTGGAACACCTTTTTGGTGTTCCTGTGATAATGGATTCTCATTCAGTGTCACCCAGGCCGTTCCATGTAAAGAAAATAGTCTTTCATCCCTCTCTTCTCATCTGTATAAAGTACAAACTAAGCAGGAAATGAAGGGAAGATGGATGCAACGGGAAAGTCCACTTGCTTTGCTCAAATGCAATGCCTTTGGTAAAATATGGTTGACTAAATGAATTTTCTTGAGCGATTCCTATTAGACACTTTGCTCTCTTAGGTTTTGGATGGACATGTCTCCTGATTCCCTGTTTCTATCTAAAAGTGACAGGTAAAGTCTTAGTACTGAAGGTACTGCCAAGGTATAGCGCCAATCAGAGGAAAGCAGTGAACTGAGGTGTGCCAAAGGTACTGGTAGCTCCAGTAGTATGCAGTGTAAATGGGAAGAAAAAAGGAGATGAAGGACTGACGAAAAAGATATGAGGAAGAAGAGAAAGAGGCTCAGAAGACCAGGGGAAAGAAGGATATGATGACCAGTTTCAGAGTGGAAAAAGTGACTGTGCTTATGTTGGGGACATTTGCCACACAACACACTGACAGATTCATTTCACCACTAAAGATGCATGATCTAAATGGGTTAATAAAATGCCACTCAGTGCGGCTTGCCAATCAACCCCATTCGTAACAAACACATGCTTGGTCTTCTCATTTCAAATCATCCCTGTGGCCTTTCTCAGGTTTTTGTCTTTTCACACAAGTTTGCAGAGATACGTTTCTCTACTGATGTGCCAGATCAATGATTAAAAACCTGGATTTTTCTCTCTTGTCAAAGTAACTCTACCATCATTGTTGCAGGATTATGGAACCCAGAAGTAGAAATATCTGGACAAGAACACAATTTTCCTCTTGCAGGTAAAGTGGAACATCCTCCTTATTTTCTTTTTCACTGAGGCCAGGCCAAGTGACACTGAGGCAAAGGATAGAAAAGAACACTCTCTAAAGAAATTTAGCCAGTTTTTCTCAGCCAGGAAAGCTGAAAATCATATCTTGTGGCCCACATGATTCTCAGAAAAACCCAAAGCACTGGAATAAAACTATAACTCATGCTTATAATAAATTAGGTGGGGTGCCCTGACATTTCATAACTAGCTTCTCCCTCACTTTATCTGATCAAGCAAAATGACCTGCAAGACCTCAGATTCCAAAAATCCTAGCCAGCTAGGAAAACCAGCAGTTTAAATTTTCGTTTTGTTTGGTTTCATTTGATAATCACAACATGGACAGTTCTGGCTTCCCACACTCTTATCACATTGTTTTTGAACAGAAATGAGTTAAAATGGTTGTTTAAAAGAAAGAATTTCTGAGAAAGGTTTGCCAGATGAAGAGTTTAGCTGTCATCAGTAATAATAGTAAAGGCCTTTAAAAAATGAAATTTACTGTTATAAAGTTTTAAATGGCATTATAACAACCTAAATTAGGTCCAACATGAGAGCATTTAGTAACATTTTTCCTGAGTTTTTTGAGGTCTCATTATTCTCATTTTAAACTAGTAAAAAAGGAAAAATTGGGGCTAGAAACAGATTATACATTTTGTCTATTTTATTTTTCTAATAAGACTATAAAGTCCTAGTGTAAATTCATTTCTTGCAGTAAGAAGTTGTCTATCATGCAAAGGAGTAATATGGGTGAAAAGGAAATAAAAGATCACATGGCCTTTCAGAGATGGCAGAAACTACTAACAGTGTAAAAACATGTGTTTGGGATGTGGACAATGCACAACAAAAATGCCACTCTGGGGTCTAAGGAGTGCTTTATTTTTCACTTACTCTGTCCTGGGGTAAAGTGGAAAGCAAGGAAAAGGGAGATTGTGTGGAAGATCAAATCCATTCGGAACAAAGATATTCAGACTTGGGAGTACAGGCTTTTGGAAAAATATATTTATTTGACATCTCTACTATTAATATTCAAATGTATCAGGTCAAACACTCACAATTCTGACAGTATTAGGAATGTAACTCTGCCACTACTGGTGTGCATCTCCTTGAGTAAGTCAACTAAAAACCTTCTCTGTTTCTTCATTCGTGAAATAGAGGAGGAGGGTTAGAAAATGGTATCTAACTTTAGGCCCAAGTGTCACATTAACAGGACAAGAAGGCAGTGATGAAGTTGTGAAACATGGACAGTGTTAAAATAGGAAGGTAGATTCCTAAGTATATTAAGTGGGGTCAGAATATTTTGCCTTTTGGCTAGGAACAACTATTTTTCGTGTGTTTTTCAGCTGAATCACTGATAACCAGTGATATTAAAAAAATACATAAATAAAGAGGACCCTTGTGGAGGTGGTATGCTTTCTGTCAGTGAAAGTATAGCTTGTTGACCAGCGTTGAGGAAAAATACTGCAGCAGTGGCTCCATGCATCAGAATCCCCTGAGAAGGCTTGTTAAACTACAGGTCGCTGGACCAGTGTCCAGTTTCTAGTTCAGTAGGTCTGGGGTAAGGGTCCCAAGGGTCTGTATTTCAAGTTCCCTGGTGATGCTGATACAGTGATCTAGGGACAACTTACTGAGAAGTGGAATACAACATTGGGAAGAAGGCAGGTTAGATGAGTACCATGATCCTTTTTGTTAGTTTAATTTTAATCAGGGATTTATATCTAATTATTGATATAGATGTGGATACATAGATATGAATGAGAAAACTAGAAGTTTATGTTATACCAATCAATCAAAAATCACACAGTGCAGATATTATTATTATTGCTATTATTATGATTACTATTATTATTCAAGGCTGGAAGACATGGAAAATAATTTGGAATTACATAAGCATTTTCATTAAAACATTTTCATCAATATTTGGAAGGTGTGAACAAGCTAGTATTCCTGTATCGACAGGTGACCAGAGATCAAATTTGAAAACTGACCCTCAAAACAAAACAAAACAAAACAGCTTACGACACACCTCACATTCCTCTTCTGCAGACACATTAACACACAAAAACGTTCATTTTACCTTAACAACAAACAAAACTCAAAGACTCTTTTTACTGCCTTCTAAATTTGGCTTTAAATAAAGATAATCTATTTTATCTTGTTATACAAAGTTTTTCTCCCAGAATCATTTTAATATCAAATAATGTTATATGAGTAGGCTTTATCCATCTTTTACTTGCCAGGTATCATCTTTTATATCCAACCTCCACCCTCACCCCCTCAATACCTGCAAAGTCTACCAGTGTCTCATTTTTTTCTTACTGTGCATTAAAGGGGTTTGTTCTCTATTCCTCACCTGTCAGGTTTACTGCTCCATTTTAATGCAGCAAAAAAATAAAAGAAAAAAGAAAAAAGAAAAAGAAAGGCTAAATGTTAGTTGGCCAATGGTAATGAGTAACCATGACAACCAAGATTTAACAGCGCTCACAGGTGGGGACACATAACTTACACACATTAGCAAATGACAGCATATCAAAATATTTAAAAGGCCTCTAATCATAGAGTAAATGGAGGACATGAGGGTACATTGCTAAATAAAGCATTTTTGAGTGTGTTAATGTCATATTCACTTTTCTCCATTAATTTACAAAATATTGCCAGGATTAATTATATTCCAGGAAGTATTTGATGGTAGAGATATAATTTGATTTTTTACAAAATGTACCATGAGAAAACTATTAATGTACTGAAAGGGAATGCAACATTATTCCTTATAAGAAATTTGTTCATTGAATACAAAGAATTCTCAGTGAAGAGGCAGGTTATTTCCTTAACGATATAAAATACTTGCAGATTGCATTGAACTGCACAAAAATTTAC